CTTCATTAAACTCTTTAATTAAAAACACACATAGTATTAAGCCAGACTGGCAAAACACTGACAATTTCCAAAAAGAATACAAACTATAGTGATGATTTTAAATTACATAAATCTCTGGATAGGAGGAGTCAGATGCAACAGCCAAGCATCCTTCACGTATTCCTAAATGTCACTTTTCAAAAGAAAAAAGCTTCATATATCCTCTAATCAATTCTGGATATTTCAAACACCCAAATACTTCTTAATGTTGTTACAGAAAAATAGTCTTGTTTGAATCACTATACAGACCATCAAAAGTTTTCTAGATATTCTACCCAACATTTTTAAAGAATTATTTATTTTTGGTATTTACTATACTTTTTTTATATCTTAGGCTTTTTTATTCTTGAATCTAAAAGTAATTATATTAATAGTATTTTCTGAAGTTTTTAAGTGCCCTTTTTTATACTTTAGCTGTTATGTTCAGAAAGTTATGTATACTTGTTTCTGAAATAATGTTTTTCTTAAAATGAACTTTAATACATTAGAAAGCTGTAACTGGGACAAACTTTATTATAACTACTATAGTTCTAGTAATAGCAAACACAAACCCTTAATTAGCATGTGACTTGTGCCAGTCTGTTATCACTCACAGAATCTTACAACATAGGTGCTATTATTAGCCCATTTCATAGACTGGGAAACAGACTCCTGCAGTACTTATTATTCTACCCCATAACAATCAAAACATCACTATGTAGTTAGGGAGAAGATAATACAACTTCCTCTTTGCATAAGGCCAATTCAAGTGTATCAAGATTTTAACAGATACTTAATTTTGAAATGTTTGTAAATCTCTCACTTTTAAAAATAATGTTATAAGTACCATTATAATAATTACATGTATAAGATGAAATTTTGTCCACTTCAGCTAACATTTCATTTGTTATGATGATCATGATACATTAAAGCCCTGTTTTAGAGGCTACCAAGCTAAGCTTACTATTTCATTGATACTCTACTAAAAAAGGAAATGGAAACTCTGCAACACAGACTTCATATGGCACACCCCACTCCAAATTATACTGGTTAAGTTTTGAAAAGTACTATGTTATCTCTAATATAGAATGAGATTCCTTGACTCAAAAACATTTAAAGTGTTATGTATTTTTTCCCTAAAACTTGTCTCCTGTTTTTTACCTTAACTTTCACATTAATCAGCACACTAAATACTTGATACATACCTAAGTAATTCCTAACCATAGTTTCTATTCACCTCTGAATTTAAGACCACCAATAATTCACGAAACCTAATAACTTAAACCATACCGAAAATCATACTAACTTAGAGGGTAAAGAGGCAGTGGACAATGTAGTTAGTGTCTTAAAAATTTTCATCCTTGCAAAGAGAAATCATACTACAACCTAACAATGGCACTATCAAAAGCATTTATAAAATGTTAAAATCTGCATGATTTCTCCGTATCTGCTTTTCTGTGTTTTGGATAATAAAACTCCAAAAGGAAATAGTTGAACTATTAGGGACAATATATTGCTATTTCTATTTCAAAAACATATTTTCAGATTAGAAAAATTGTAATTCACTTATTTCATGAATAACTGGGGCTCCAGAAATGACTTGCTGGAGATTACCTGCAGGTTAACTGTTGGCAGGGCTAAGATCACAACCCCACATCTCCTGACTCCCAATCATTTCACTTAAATACAATGATTTCTAATAAAGTGGAATCATTTTAAGAAAAGTAAATACCACTACAAAACATAAAATAAGTATTATATCATTTCAACAAACTGGCAAAACATGAACCCTGTTTTGGAAAGAAAACAAAAAGCCATGTAATCAAGAAATGTGATCAGAGTCCCAAATCTAGTAAAAATGAGTAAAAATTCTGTGTCAAGATCTCTTCATAAATACGCAACCATCACTAATTAAGGTGGCAACTAGAAAGGGAAGTTAACAAACCAACTAATTCCATCATGCAAACTAAGAAATAAACAAATAATTGTCCAAAAATTATTTGAGTTTTCCTATTCTATAGTTTGCCTCCTAAGCCTCTCCATTTAAAAAATAAGAATTCTGATAAAAGTTTTTTAAAATGCCCTTTTGCTTTAAATCGACCTCCTGTTTTTAAAAATATAAAACTAAGACATATATCATAGAGCAAAAATTTTTTTAAAAAAACCTTTAATTTCCTATCAAAAATATTTTAAATCTTAAGGTAGAGGGGAATAATCACAATGAAGTTTTATCAATCACACTTGAAATAAACACATCAATTTTTTTAAAAAATCTGTAAACTTTTAAAACTGCTCATAAATCTCCACTTTCCTCTTGGTACAATCAATCACTGATTGTATCTGTAGGCTGATTGCACATACTAATCTACACCTATTTTTAAGCTCATAAATATAAATATTACTTCCTATTCTAAATAACTGTAATTTGAGATTTTTCTAAAAATTTCGATCTGACATATGAATTCTTCCGTTTAAAATATTACTCATTTATCAGGAATGTAACAACAAATTTCCAGGTAAAGGCAGACACTTACTGAAACCACCTATCAAAAATAGTTATTTTGGTTTCATTCACCAAAAGTCTTTAAATCAATGTCAAATAAAAGCAATTTGAAGGGCAACAAAGTTAAACATGTTTAAGTCATAAGAATAAATTAAGACAATAGAGAACACTATACGAAGTTTTGCATGTTTATCTAGACATAAAATTCAAGATCCTACTTACTATTAAACAAGAATGTGCTCAGATACCTGCTGTTCCAAAATGTTTTTAGAGTTAACTAAATCTCAATTAAAAAGTCGAAGTTAAACAGCATACCTACACACCTAGATATAGTTTGATGAATATGAAAGCACCTTGAATGATGCCTTGTATCCAGTAGATACGGAGTGAGCAACATGCTGAATGAATAAAAAGAGAACTCTGAATTCTAATGAGAATTTTAACTGCCTCATGAAATGCCAACATGACTGTTCTAGTATAAAGATGAAAACACTCCAAGTAAGAACCACTTCCGTGCGAAAAAGGCGGATGTCGATAATTAATACCGATGAAGACTCTACTTATTGTGTCCTAAGTTTTGAGAACGAGCCAGGAATATAAATGCATTAATATTTGAGAGACAAGAAACCCTCTCAAAAATTAAATTAACTAAAAATCACCATTGGTGCCCTTTTTGTTACTGGAGAAAACAAAACAATATTCCTACAAGGATAAGACATTCCCCTTATTTGGCCAGATACCATTTACCACTTCATTTTAAAAATATAAATATAACATTACCAACTGTCTCCAAGAAAACACAGCAATCTTTAAAAACTTGGGGTTGTTGGTTTTTATAAGATGCAAAGATGAGTTTTGTAAAATCTGCCCAATTCTTAAAAAAGAAAATTATAATCTTTGTAATTTTTTGGAGTAACAAGGAAGGGCGCTTTAGATTTTGTCAAAGATTACAATCTAAAAATTTAAATACTGCAGTTAATGAATTTGAGTTGGCTTCAAACTCTATTCATTTTAGCCAAGTATTGAATGAAACTAGCCTAAATCACTACTTACAAACTATTAAAGTTTCCATTAAATTTACTAATAAACCTTAGTGCCCTTGCTTATTTCAACAGATGTAGGCATTTATCAGCAACCTATATTAAATCATAAGAGAATTAGACTCGTTAAATGTTCTACATCCAAATGAAAGGGAAAGCCATCAAATCAAAATCACGTCATGCCTTCACCCTACTCAAGCCATTCAATTCTAAGCTAGCTTTGAAACGTCCAAATGTTTCAGAAGCCCTCATTAAGTAACAGTCATTAACTACATCACAACATCAGCTGCAAATATGTCTCAGAAAATCAATGCATGCATAAATTTTAAATGCTTGATTTGCCCCGAGTGAGTGCTTTAACTGCCCAACACACGCACATATTCATACAAATAACCTAAATCAGTTTAGGAGAAAAGAACATGGGAAATACACAGAACTCCCAGATACAGATACCTTACTTTTCACAGTCACAGTCCTAAAGTAATAGGTCCACATTTAGAAGTCAATTTCTACAAATTACTAAACTATCCATCCTGAAAACCCACAAAACTAAGTAATAGGCATTTTTTCAACGATTTAACAAAATCTATCCCAAGATATACCGGAAAACTTTTACTTCCCAAGCTCCATCTTCACTAAATACGTGGCCAAAGAAAATAAAGACGCTTCAGTGGCCTCTAGGAACAGTTCATCGGACAAGGGGCAGAACACCAGCATCAGCAAAATTAGGAAAAAAGCCTGCTCAACTTCTGGCTTTAGGGCATTAACAGGCTTTTTTTTTTACACTTCTGCGAACGCTGTTTTGGTAAATGCAAGATGTGCTGAAGGCCAACTCTCATCACACATCTGAATCCCTCCAACCAAAAAACATAGCTCTGCATTTAAAGCAAGCAAAAAGAAACGAAGAGAAGGAAAGAAAAAAAAATTAGATCACGTCTCGCCACGGTTCCGCTGCTGCGAGGAGCCTGCCGGTGAAATGCTAATGCCACTTCGGAGCGGTTAGTCACCAGCCATTGTATTGTGTGCGGCCGGAGAGCGCCGCGCCGACCGCGCGAGCAGAGCGCCGAGCGCGCCCCCCGCGCGCCGCTCCCGCCGCCGCCGCCGCCGCCGCCGCGCGCGCCCCCGCGCCCGCACGGCCGCGCGCGCCGGCCCCTCCTCCTCCGGCCTTGCACTGCACAACACTCATGACGTATCTTTATTTCTAGCACATTAACCAAATATCACAAATAAATTGTCTGCAGCCCCTACGGCCCCGGGGTGCAGGTCCCCCCGGCCACTGCCCCCCGCCGCCCCCGCGCCGACTTCCCAACGTCCCCCCTGGCCTGGGGAGCTTTCACGTTTCTGGGGCCAAGTTTTTGTCTCTGTAAAAAATTGCGGGAAATTCAATTTTTATTCGACTCGGGGAAAAGTTTCTTTGCTCCGCGACGTGAATGTCTCACCAGATTCTGGTAGGTCCTGGGATGCTCCTTCCCGGTCCAGTCGGTGCGTCGAGGCAGCAGCTGCGGGGAGAGGACGTCCCGTAAGCCGGGCCCCCCGGCCCCAGCCCGCCCGCGCCCCTCCCCCGCCCGCCCCGCGCCCCGGCGGGGACCCCAAGCCCCGCGCCCCACGCCCCAGCGGCGGCGGCAGCGGTGGCGCCGCGGCCCAAGGGCGACCGCGCGGCGGCAGGACGCGGCGGACCGCCGCCGCCCTTACCTCTTTCTCGGCCACCTCGCGGATCAGCACCTGCAACAACAAAGCGGGGAGAGCTGAGCCCCGCGCCCCGGGCCGCGGCCCCGCGCCGCCGCCGCCCTCCCCCACGCCCGCGAGCGCCGAACCCGGCCCGGCCCGCGCCGCGCGCCGCCGTACCTGAGCCGCCTGCTGACAGGGTCCATCTTCCAGGAACCGGGCGATGAGGAAGTAGAGCTCTGCGCGGGAGAGAGGGACGGGGAGACACGGGCTCAGCGGCCGGGCGGCGGGGGGCGGAGGACCGCGAGCGGAATCGCCCGGTGCCAGCGGCCCCGGGAGCCCCTCGACTTACCCGATCGCAGCTCCGAGAGGCCTTTCCTCTCACGAGACATGTTTATGGGTCACTTCAGGGCCGCTGGCGGGACACCCCGCCGCCGAGGGGAAGCGGGGATGGTGCCTCCGCCTGCCCTATAGCTGTCACTGTGTGTTCACGAGCCCAGCCTCGGCTCCACCATTCAAGCGACGGCGGCGGAGGCGGAGGCGGAGGAGGAGGAAACAACAACTCTCAGGCAGCGGCTACGGCCGCCGCCGCCTCCGCCGCGGATCCCTCCGCCGCAGAAAAGAGTCCGCCGCCTTCCCGGCCCCAGGCTCGGCCCCGGCCCGCGCTCCCGCCCCCTGGAGAGAAAAAGGAGTGCCTCGCGCCCTACGCCCCGAGGCGCGGTGAGACCCCCCTACCCACCCACCCCACCCCTCCCTGGCCGAAGGTGCGATTTGTTTATTTATTTCCAGCTGGAGAAGATGTCGGAGCCGGAGCCGCGGGTTGGCTGGCAGGCGCTTTCTCTGTGGAGGCCGATCGCGGGAGGGAGGGGGCCGGGGCCGGCTCCGCGGAGGGATCTGACGCAAACGGAGCCGCAGCACAGCTCTATTCAGTGGCGCTGGCTGGCGCTGAGATGGAAGTTACTTTCTATGTAGCAGAAATAGGAAACAAATGAAGCAAAACTGCCCAAAGAGGGGAAATGCCCCGAGGATGGGTCTCACTCTCACGCACGCACACAGACACACGCAGAGCGCACTCTCACGCTGGGCAAACTCGGGATCGCGCTCCCCGGCCCGAGTTGAATGAGAGTGTTTGGTTTCTGTCTCTTGCCATGTGCATGTGTATAAATGCTGCGGATTGGCATCTGTGTAAGTCTTGTCCTGCGTTATTTCTGCAACCGATGCAAAGTGTAATTTATTCCAGCGCTTGATATTGCAATGAAAGGTTCGGGCTCTTTTTGTTAAAGCACTTGCGTTTGCTAGCCCGCTCTTCGCTGAAGCCACCTATTCGTGTATCTTATGTTACTGCCATTGCCTTAAGCGTACATTTAAAAAATGCTGTTATTGTTACAGGGGCAAAGCGAACTCCTGATCTGTACTTCAGATACTCTTTTCCTGATTACAAAACGGCTAGTAGTGACGGCTAATTAGGGATTTGGGATTCAAGAACCTTGATGCTTTTTTTTTTAAGTGTTTACCAGAAGGAATAATGTAAACATGAAAGAAAGGAAAGAACGTTGGTATTTATCCTAACTGATCTGGAGGTAGTTTAGTGACAGATCAATAACCTCTGAAGGATATTGAAACAGTATACTACACTTTAACCCGGGTGATTAGTGATTAAATAATTTAAATTATCTGTGTATCTTGTAGTTGACTTCGTCATACTAATTAATGGCTTCTAATTTGAGGTGTAAACCATTCCTGTTTACAGTTAATCACGGGAAGACTTCTTGAAAACTGACAAAAGGAGAAAAAATTAATCTTTCGTAAATTAGTATGTAATTACCGGTTTTACAGGCTAAATCATACATCTGCGTTTTGTGATGAGGATGAGGGCCTTGTTTGTTAAAAAACGAATATGGGTGAAATTAATGGAAACAATGGAAAAAGCCATTTGTTAGAAAACAAGGACACTAAGTGATATTTATCTCCAGATGATTTAAGCACTTTCCCAAAAGACTTGAGAGTGGATTTTTGTTTGTAAGGATTGCATTTTAAAGGGAACTAGGGTAGTCGTTCTTTTGTTAACATTTAACAAAAGATTCTCCTTAAAAATTTTAGATAATAAACTGCATTTTATGAATGTGGTCTGAAAAAGGTGATTCGTGGGGGAAAGGACCCACAAGCTGTATCGTGGTTTTCTGGATTGTTTCCTCAAGCCTTGTACCCGCTGAGCTCCTTAACATTCCTAGTGGGAGATACTTGCTGCAACTGCCTTGGGCTGCACTGCAAGACTGCATCTGTGTAATGCCCTATCCTATACGAAAACATCCAGAAATCATCGTACATATGCTGAAGGAGAAAAAAAGACTAGACATCCTTGGAATAATACGATGTAAAATTGCCTTTTTTTTTTTTAAACAACCTTAATTCAAATAAAAAAGAGTTGTCCGATTGCATTTTAATTACCAGAGAAACTTATTTATTGAAATGGCTATCCTTCCAATATTGAAAATATTTGCATTTTTAAAGACAGTAATTCCATTCTATTATAGGTAAAGTAGCTTCTTCTAGGTGATTAGGTTTGAAAAGACAGACATTTAATATGCCTTTATGCAGTTCTGTTTATTTCTATGATTGATGCTTTCTAGTGTATCTTTTCTTTTTAAAAAGTATTATATTCTTCAAATAAGTGTAATATTTTATATTACGATGTTCTTCAAATAAACAGATTTCAAGAACTAAGGATTATAGTTAGAATCTTGTGGTTTTGAAATGTTTGTATTAGTCTGATTCTTCCTAATAGATGTTGTATCCTTGCGAAGGAAAATAAACCAAATTATGACATGAAATATAAAATTACCCTGAGTAAAGTTTTCCACATATATCTTGTGACTGTTATGTAAACATTGAAAGCTAGTATGATTATCTCATGTATGTTTTCCATTTAGAAGCTACAAAAGCTTTCCCTAAGTATGCTACTATACTTAGCTCCTAATTTCCTTAAGGAAAATAGCCCTTCGAAGTTTTCTGAATATGATGTTTCTGTCATTTTGAGTAACCTTTGACAATATTTATAGTTTATTTTTCAAAGCCCTAATTTCAAGATGGCTGCCTTTGAACTAATTTATAACTATCAGTCTGTTTTAAGAAAATATGTATTAACTGCTAAAAATTAAAACTTCTCTTAAGCCAAATAAACTATTTGTTTTTAACAGTGGATGTTAAATTGAATTTTACTTAGTTTTTTAAATGTAATACTCCTTATAACATTTTAATTCCTTTAAACATAAAACACATTTCTGGATTCTGTTAACTATAGGGTTATTAAGTGATTTATTGTGCATGTATATACAGAAAGACTGTACCTATCATATAGAAAGAAAATCTTACCTTGAAGTCCTATGTTTTAGTTCCCAAGGTGATGGCACTTGCAGTTCTTTTCTCAGCCTTCTCTTTTGCATATAAGGATAGTTCAGATTCCATCTATATCCCTTTCTATTGGTTTATTTTAACTTTTTCATGGACTTCAAAAATAAAGTGTTAATTTAAAAGATTTTCATGCCTTTTATATAAGAAGGCTAACAAAAATAGTAAAAGTTTGGAAAACCAATGATTCATGTTTTTATTATAGTAGTCTCTTTAGGAGAATTACAAACTTTTCTTGAAATGTGAAGTTCAAGAAAAATTTCTGTGAAATTCACCACTTGTTTTCACTTGGCATCACATGAAACAAGATAAATATTTTACAAAAAGTTTGTCTTGATTGTGATAAGTTATTCTAATGAAATAATCAAATGCTGCCATTCAAGTTCTTTCTGGAACAAGATAGGATAGTATTTATAAATAAAAGGATTCCACCACACTTATGAAAAAATTTCGCTTATCTCCACTAGCATGAAATAATACATAGCTCAAAAAACTCTGCAAAATTTTTTAAAATTATATATTAAATCCCTTTTTTATGTTGATATTATGCTTTATTTATAGCTATAAACTGTAGAAATGGAAAAGTAGAAAACACTGTTCTTCAAAAACAACCTTTTTTAATACTCATCTGTCCTGACAACAAAATACAGCTGTCAAAAGAATCTTGTGTAATACACCTCACTCCTTCTTCTGGATTGCTCCCCAATATTGTATGTTTCTGCTCAGATCTCTCTGACTTTCTCTCAACACACATATTCTTCTCCCTTTATCAAGCTTGAATATATATCAAATTTGCAATATGAGCAAATATACTATTTAGCTGCTACAGAAAGACTAGAGGAAGCCAAGTCATTATTTAACAATTTATATTGTCTCCACTGAGAAAGCTTTTCACTTAAATTAGAGCACAATTCCTTTTAACCTAACAAAAATTAGCTGGTTACCAACAATCAAATAATCCCTTACTTATTTAAATGTTATTAGTAATTCACCACTCAACTTTTTTTCCTCCAAATTAAATAATCCTAGGAGCTTGGAATTTTTTTTTCTAATGTAAGTTTTAGTTTGCACAAGAAAGACATATCTTCATGGACATACATGTTTTATTTTTAACATCACTTCATGATCTAACCGTACAATTACAAAGATTAATGTAGAAAAGCAATTTTAGAACATATTCCCCCAAGATTAAAAGCAACACAGTGGATGGAGTAGAAAAAGCTGTTCCAGATGGCAAGAAACTTAAAGGAGAAGTCTGTAGGCATGCTGTATCATATGAAGATGTCTGATGGATGGAGAGTGGGCTGGACTGATCAGAGAACAGTGGAAGGAGAGAGGATAGATTCGGGGAAGGGATGCAGTGTCATTGAAAGCTGCTAGTGGTAGTGTGTTAAACAAAGCATGCTATTGTCAATGTGCTTTTAAGAGGGAATTTGATGGCAAGAGTTATGTAGTAACTTGCCTTTACATGTACCCAAATTCGTAAACTAAAAACCCCAAAGAAGAAAAAAATTATTTTACTCATGGAAAGGAAAGGGGGAGGTTTATCTGACAAGTTAGTGAGGAATCTCTGCATAATAAAAACACTCAGAATCAAGGACACCAAAGTAGACACTGTTGTTGGGAAAGGAGAATGGTTGTTTAAAAGAGTAAGATCTTTAGAGTGCCCACAAGTCTGACTTGAGATTCAAATATGACAGTAAGACATATATGAAAGTAAGATCCAACTCAAAATGGAAAATAAAGCCAATTTAGATTTAAACTGACTTTGTAATAAAAAATGGGCTTTTCATTTTTCCAAATTCCTATAGGAAGGCCTAATTTACTACCTTATTTTATAAATTGCCTCTATTTTTCTTCTCTTATTTAAATACTTGGCAAAGATCTTGACTTATGCCTCTCTGCTTTGTTCCCTTTGATGGCTATAGTCGTGTATTTGTTGAAATAGTGGTTAGCTAACTACCCTAAAGAATGGGTTCTAGTATACAGTTAAAATTTAAAATATTGTTGATAGCAAGTAGGTCTTCCAACTGAGATGTATATGTTCAAAATTTAAGAAGAGCTTATAATTTGGTTTTGATGTTACACCTACAAATTCCATTGCATTCATAATTTTCATGCTTACATTTGAATGCATAAAAATATTGGTGTGGGTGAAATGGTTATAGCGGATTTTTTAACGTTCATCAGAATTTTCCAACTGATAATAATTTGTATAAAAACTAATGTAGCCTTTAAATGGGATCTACTGGTAAGGGCATATGTGTTATTTCCTCTCAACAGTTATCAGAATAATGTAGCTGAACATTATT